GGCGGGGGGGGGGCCAGCCATGACAGTCCCTTGTGGGTCCCTGTTGGGGGGGGACGGGGCTATGGGGCCCCCTTTCTGCCCTGGGGCTGGAGGGGGGATGTGTGTCATGTCCCCCTAACCCTCTGCTGGAGTTGTGGGGCTCGGGGGGGTGGGGGGCACTCTGGGCTCTGTCCCTGCGCCCCAGAGCCCCTCTCCACCCCCTCCCCAGGTCCTTCTCCATCCCCCTCCTCTCCCCGCAGGAGACGCTGATGGGGAAGTACGGGGAGGAGGCGAAGCTCATCTACGAGCTGCAGGACCAGGGCGGGGAGCTGCTGGCCCTGCGCTACGACCTGACCGTATCCTCGGGGGACACGCACACGCTGAGGTCGCTGCCACCTCTGCTTCGTTGGGCCACCCTTCATCCAATCACAGAAGGGTTTGGGTGGGAAGGGACCTTTAAAAGCCACCCAGTCCCACCCCCTGCCATATAGAGGGACATCTTCTACTAGACCAGGTTGCTCCAAGCCCCCTCCAACCTGGCCTTGAACCCCTCCAGGGATGGGGCAGCCACAGCTTCTCTGGCCAACCTGGGCCAGGCTCTCACCACCCTCACACCAAACAAGTTCTTCCCCACATCTCAGCTCCATCTCCCCTCTTTCAGGGTCAAACCCTTCCCCCTCCTCCTATGGCTCCCCTCCCTGATCCAGAGTCCCTCCCCATCTCTCCTGGAGCCCCTTGAGGGACTGGAAGGGGCTCTAAGGTCTCCCTGGAGCCTTCTCTTCTCCAGGCTGAACCCCCCCAACTCAGCCCCCCCTCCCAGCAGAGGGGCTCCAGCCCTCTCAGCATCTCCATGGCCTCCTCTGGCCCCACTCTAACAGCTCCATGTCCTTCTGATGTTGGTGGCCCCAGAGCTGGAGGCAGCACTAGCTGGGGGGTCTCCTCAGAGTAGAGCAGAGGGGCAGAACCTCCCCCCTTGCCCTGGTGGCCACGCTGCTGGGGATGCAGCCCAGGTTGTGGGGGGCTTTCTGGGCTGGCAGCTCACGTTGCTGACTCATGGCCAGCTTCTCATCCACCGACACCCCCAAGTCCACCTCCTTAGGGCTGCTCTCCATCCCTTCATCCCCCAGCCTGCACTTGTGCTTGGGGTTGCCCCAACCCAGCTGCAGGACCCTGCACTTAGCCTTGTTGAACCTCATGAGGGTCACAAGGACCTGCTTCTCGAGCCTGTCCGTGTCCCTCTGGATGGCGTCCTGTCCCTCAGGCGTGTCACCGCACCACTCAGCTTGGTGTCACCTGCAAACGTGCTGAGGGTGCACTCGATCCCACTGTCTCTGTTGTTGATGAAGATACTGAACAGTATTGCCCTGCCCTGCTTGTGGGTCCCATCAGGGTGATGGAAACCCAATTCCCACCAAGTGGTGGACACCACCAGTGTCGTTGGCATGACCCCACCTCAAACTACCCCACATCCAGTCCAGGATCTGCTGCAAAGCGGCCCTTTTCTCCTGTGGACACCCGCCACGTGCTCCTGTCCTGTCCATCCCACCTTCCCAGTGCTTTGGTAGCTCTCCTCAGAGAGCAGCGGTGTTTGCTGCAGGTACAAAGCAGGTGTCCATCCTGGGCCTCCTCCCCTCCACATCTCACCAAAAAGCTCTCCACTTTAATGTCTGTGTGACGGTGCCTTATGTGGAATTCTCTCTGATGGCTCCGTAAGAGGGTGAAATGACCCAGCAAAGGTCTGTGTGTGTGTGTGAGGTGTTGACGTACCGTGGTTCGGAAGGAGGAGATGGAGTTGTCCTGGTGTTGGAAAACCTCAGCGTGGTTCGTCATACTCATCGTCAGCCTCGGTTGATGACCTCCCTAGAGATGGGGGAGCAGCTGGCAAAGCGAAAGGGGGACGGGGCTTTCTGGTTCAGCTTTCTGCAGCTCAGGGCATCTCCATGTTCCTGTCCTTAACTCCTTGGCACCCAGGTGCCCTTCGCTCGCTATCTGGCCATGAACAAGATCACCAACATGAAGCGCTACCACATCGCTAAGGTCTACAGGCGGGACAACCCGGCCACGACCAGGGGCCGCTACCGGGAGTTCTACCAGTGCGTGAGTGTTGTGGTGGCTGCCGCGTGAGGGGACGAGGCCGCTCGGGGCGGGAGGGCATGGGGGACGCTTGGGTTTTACTGGCTGGGTTGTCTTCTGCTGCTGTGGGTCCGTGTGGGGTGTCTGGGGAAGCTGAAGCACCTCAGCTGTGCCAGGAGACTCTGCCGCTTCTGCCGCCAGGATTTTGACATCGCCGGGCAGTTCGACCCGATGATTCCTGACGCTGAGTGCCTGAAGATCGTGCACGAGATCCTGAGTGACCTGCAGCTCGGGGACTTTCTCATTAAGGTGAGATCAGACCCAAGTGGCTTTCACACCTCGGTGCCTTCCCTTCCCATGGGATTGAGAAGGGAACGCCAACAGCTGCAGCTTCCTGCACCCCTGGGGTGGTGGGGGGATGTCCCCTGAGGTAAGCAAGCTTCTCCCACCCCCAGGTCAACGACCGACGGATTTTGAATGGTGTGTTTGCCATCTGCGGCATCCCGGAGAGCAAGTTCATCACCACCTGCTCTACCGTGGACAAGCTGGACAAGGTGAGCATCGTGCTGCTGGGGAGGGTAGATGTCGCGGGCTGGGCAGTGTCCTGGTCGTGGCCGGTCTCATCGTCAAGAGGTTCAGAGCAGCTAAACCCTTGGGGTTTGTAAAGGGTTTGGGGAGCTCTTGTGTGTAATTAAGAATAAGAATTTAGGGAGGTGATTGTGCCCCTGTACTCAGCACTGGGGAGGCCACACCTCGAGTGTTGTGTCCAGTTTTGGGCACCTCAATCCAAGAGAGATCTGGAGGTGCTGGAGCGAGTGCAGAGGAGGGCAACGAAACTGGTGAGGGGGCTGGAAAACAAATCGTATGAGGAGCGGCTGAGGGAGTTGGGGCTGTTTAGTGTGAGGAAGAGGAGGCTGAGGGGAGACCTCATCACTCTCTACAACTTCGTGAAAGGACACTGTAGAGAGGTTGGTGCTGGTCTCTTCTCACAGGTAATTAGTGACAGAACGAGAGGGAACGGCTTCAAGCTCCAACAGGGGAGGTTTAGATTGAACATGAGGAAGGAATTTTTCACCCAAAGAGTGGTCGGGCATTGGAACAGGCTGCCCAGGGAGGGGGTGGAGTCCCCATCCCTGGCTGTGTTTAAGGGCCGTTTAGATGCAGTGCTGAGGGACATGGTGTAGGGGAGGACTTTGTAGAGTAGGGGAGATGGTTGGACTCGATGATCCCAAGGGTCTCTTCCAACCTCAATGATTCTATGATTCTATGATAAAGCCTGGTGTTTCCAGTGGTTCCTGTTAACGATTCCTGGGAGAGCTGTGGATCGTTAGTGAGGTTACTGGTTGCTGTCTTCCTGAGTGTGTTGTGGATGCGAGGGCTGGTGGAGACCCTTGGTGGTGAGAGTGTCCTGCAGCAGCAGAAGTTCTCGTTTGCCCTCATAGATACCGTGGGAGGAGGTGAAGAATGAGATGGTAGGAGAGAAGGGGCTCTCCCCCGAGGCTGCGGATCGCATCGGGGAGTATGTCCAGCTTCACGGTGAGCACCTGGAGTGTCCAGCCCTTGGCCTTGTCCTTCCAGGCCGGGCAGGGCAAGTGACAGAGAAGTCCAGGCTGGGCCCATCGCCGTGGGTGCTGCTCTGCTGGTTGCCCCGAGACATATCTTGTTTCCACAGGTGGCCTGGACCTGATCGAGCGGCTTCTGCAGGACCCCAAGCTGTCCCAGAACAAGTTGGCCAAGGAGGGGCTGGGGGACATGAAGCTGCTGTTTGAGTACCTGACCCTGTTTGGCATCACAGGGAAGGTGAGGAGCTGCGGAGGCAGGAGGGGGTGCAGCCCAGGGCCCCCCCGAGTGCACCCAGTGACGGGGCTCCCTGGTGTCCTACAGATCTCCTTTGACCTGAGCCTGGCGCGGGGTCTGGACTATTACACGGGAGTGATCTTTGAGGCTGTCCTGCTGCAGCAGGAGAACGACCACGTGGAGGAGTCGGTCGGCGTTGGGAGCGTGGCTGGAGGCGGCCGCTACGACGGGCTGGTGGGGATGTTTGATCCCAAGGGCCGGAAGGTGCCCTGTGTGGGGGTCAGCATTGGGATCGAGCGGATCTTCTCCATCCTAGAGCAGAGAGTGAAGGTTGGTGGCACATGGCACGGGGCAGGGCTCTAGGAGCTGTCTATTGTTTGCTACAGAGCTCTACAGCTCCACAGTGTTTGAGAGGAGAGCATTTGGGGGGAGAAGATGAGTGCTCTCATGCCTGTGTGTCCATGCACAGAAGACAGAGCCCTCTTCTGCAGCCCACCAGGGTCCCACCAGGATGGGATGCCCATGGGCAGCTACGGGCAGCATTTTGTAGCAGACGCCAAGGAATCGTTAGAGACAGGCCCTGAGCTCTGGTCCTAGCTCTGATCTTTGTGTCCCAGCCTCTTGCCTGTGAAGTTTTCTGTCCTGGGGATTGTGAAGTGATGAATTCGTTAACAGCTGTGGCGCTCGCTCTGTAATGAGCCCTAGGAAAGCCTGTGAGGAAATCCATCTCTCTGCATTTAGTTCTGAGCTTGTAATTCATAACAAGCGAGGCTGAAGCAATGTCTTTGGACTGGAAGAATCAAAGGAGCATCAGAAAGCTGTCCAGGTCCCATCCCGGGGCAGGGGGGGGAAAGGAAGACCAAGGTCCCATGGGAACAGCAGCACACGATTAAGTAGCGTGTGACAATGCAGATTCTCTGGGGGACTCATTAAATGTGCCCAGATTGTCTTGTCTGTGCACTCTTTTTGCTTCTGGAAGGTTAGCCTTGCTCAGTAACCTTCACTGAATAGTGACAGTTAGCTTTTAAGCGTGCTTGTTTGGGGGAGCTAAGTTAAGGTCTGAAGATAAGGCGAGCTGAGCTTGTTGTGAGCTGCAGATTCCCTCAGAGCCTGTCACTCTCACGAGCGCGTCTGTCCCTGCAGGCTTCTGGGGAGAAACTTCGAACGACTGAGACACAAGTGCTGGTGGCTACACCTCAGAAACACTTACTCGCTGCGAGACTGAAGCTCATCTCCGAGCTGTGGGACGCAGGGATCAAGGTAAAATGAGGACTTGGGCTTGGCACTGGTATGGCTTGAAGGATGGAGAGCCTGAAGGGAACTGCAGCACAGCAAAACCAACTCCTTTGGTGGTGTGTCTCTTCAGGATCTGTGCCTGTCTGAGATCTAGCAGGCAGAGGAGGAGAACAGTCAAGACCACTAAAGGCAATTGCTTGCTGTAGGAATAATGAGGCAGAGTTTTCTGTGGGGTTTTGGTGCTGGCTGTTTTGCTCCAGGATTCATCAGAGCAAATTTGTTCCTCTCCTAGGCAGAGATGTTTTACAAGAAGGATCCTAAACTGCTGAAGCAGCTGCAGTATTGCGAGGACATGGGGATCCCCCTCGCTGCCATTGTAGGAGAGCAAGAGCTGACAGATGGAGTCGTCAAGCTGCGAGATGTCGCAACAAGACAGGAGGTGAGAATGCCATCTTACACTGGGTTTCAAAAGCGCTCCCAAAAATCTAGAAATACTGAAAGGCCTTGAGGTTTCCCTCAGTGACGTTCCTTTGGGGAGTTGCAGGATGGACCTATTGGGTCACAAACTACGTTGGTACCCACAGCAGGTCCTTGGGGCCAGATTGAAGGGTGCATTGCTCAGGGTTCCAATGCTGCTACCTCCTTCTCTCCATTTCCTTGTAGGTTGATATCCCAAGAGAAAAGCTGCTTGATGAGATCAGGAGAAGGCTGGAGCCATAGGACTTCTCTGGCCAGAGCTGCTTGACCGAACTGTACAACTGGAACCCTCCAGCACCCTTAGCCATTCGCTTCCTGCTGAAGTCTGGTCACCTGAGGCTCATCTGCTTGGGCTAAGGCAGTGTCAACACATGCTTGGAAAGAAGGAAGCAGGTTTTAAAGGTTATGGACGGGACAGTCATGAGGTTAACCTTCTGGTTAACTGCTCTGAAGGATGGGTCAGACTCGTGGGTTCCTAATATTGTGGTCCCTGTGCCTGTGCAGCTGTTCCCATCCCCTGTAGGCAGTTGTGTTGGTGGCACAGGCACAGGTGACATGGGGGCAGCTCAAGCAGGATGAGGCTGAGCTCTGGAGCTGGGGGGTGGAATCTGTGGCATGTTGGGCACCTGCAGGCTCGGCATGGAGGGAGAGGGTGGCAGTGGAAGGCCCCTCTGTCCCCTCCAAGGACTGCAAGGGCATCACCAGGCTGCCATCGGGTACAGGGATGGATGTGCTCCGGGGAGCCCGGCCCCTGGCACCGGAGTGTGGGGAGTGCAGGCCCCCTCGGGGAGGGATGCAGCGGGGAGCTGGGCAGGCAGGCTCCGGCTGTTGTGAGCGTGGAGGAACTCTGTATTTTTATACATTAAAAAAAAAAAAAAAAAGGGGAAGATATTTTAGAAAGTCAATTGGAGTAGAAATGCCTTGACATTTTAAAAATAATATAAATAATAATTGAAATGATTTTGCAATTGTGAGCTCCTAACCTGTGCTATGTTCCCAAACACAACAGCATTATGAACAAAAAGACCAGGCTAGGCAACGTATTATTACCAAAAGTGAGAGAAAACAGTCTCGTAATTCATCCTTACAGAAAAATGAAATAAAAATGTGCACCTGAACTAAATTTTAAAGTCAATACAAATTTTGGTACTCTCTTCTGCTGGAGAAGCCCAAGATATTCATAACAAAGTAGGAGCTATATAGTTTACCTTAACAATATTCCTTTAAAATACCTAATTATAATTCTATTTAAAGGAGAAAATACTGGTTTAAATAAAAATTTTCATCAAAACAGTTCCTTTCATTGTATTCTTCAGACAACACAGGGCCCTCTGACCTGTAATTTCCTGGACTACAGCTTATGTACATATTAATGAAGACATAATAGCTTTGACTTGTTATTGGCAAAAATTTTCCACAACTTAATAAGATACAAGCTCTTAGAATGTAGAAAGCAGAAATACCAGAAAGCTTGCTTATAGATTTGTTTACCCATCTCATACGGTTTTCTAAGGCAGGAGGAATAAAGTTCAAGCATTAAATGAAGTTCAAGCATTGCTATTCTGTT